GGGGGGGTGGTATTTTATGGGCTGACATTCCTTGTCCCAGACTGTGTGTGGGTCCTGAAGGCTCAGCCTGGAATCTATTGCAGGCCTGAGGCCCGGGGACCGCTGCCTTCTCCAAGATGCTGCAGCGTCTGATGGGAAACCAAAAATTGAAAAAGTCCTCTCATCTCTTGCCTTGTCCAAATATGGAGAGAAGGTTTAGGGGGAAATGTTAAAATAATAATCTGCAAATGCCCAAAAAATGTCCTCCAAAAGAAACTTGTGTCTTGGATTTAGAAACAAGTCTCCACTTCGAAGACGGCTGACTCTGGTCTAGACCTTCTGAAGGGGACAGAGACAGGCGACCGAGTCACTGGCCGCCAGTTGCTGGGAGAGACTGGTGCTGGTATCCATGGGGGGACAGGTGAGGAAGGAGGGCCTGACCCTGCCCACATCCTCCTCCTGCCCAAGGCTCTGTGTGGACATTCCAAGAAGTTTCTGGTTTAAAAAAAATGTTTTAATTTTTGCTTTTTGCTCTGGCAGTGGCCAGGGCTCTGAGCTTTAGTCTGTCTTTAGGTCTGTTCACGTGTCTGAATCCATCGCTCTCTTTCTGAACCCTGGCCCAGAGGGCGCGCTGTTGGGCCCAAGAAGCAGGAAGTCCCGTCATGTGAAAGGTTAAGCAAAGCCCAGCCCTTCATGGGCCTCCTTTGAATGTGAGACATCAGAAGTTTATGGGTTGGAAATTCTTGACCCAGAAATGTTCCTCCAAGAGCCAGAAAGGCCTGCCCCGGCCGGTTTCCAAGACTCCTTTACAAATGAGAGGAGTGTGGGAAATGGTCAGGGCGCCGGCCGCGCTCTCAAGGCTGGCCCTCCGCCCGGGCCTGCGGGCCCCACTGCCAGTGTTCTGAGATGCAGTCCCTTTATTTAGTTTCTCATGTAGTTGCCAGAGGGCACGAATGCTCGCCAGGCAGAGACCGAGAGATAGGGAAAGAGCGAGAAGGAGAGAGCACGCCTAATGGGCAACACCACAGTCCCTTCTCCATTTCTCCGTCCCGTCAGAAGTTTGGACACACGCACACACCCCAGTGTATTTATCAAGGTGTGGAGACTGAGATTCGAACCGTGCAGTTGGCCATGTAGGACCCAGCTCCCTTAACCACTAGGCCATGGGGCTGAGCCCGAGGTGCAGTCACTTTAAAACAACACAAAATGAAACCAAAGCCAAGCAAAGAAACCCAAGTCTGAGACTGGGGCTCTCACCCATCCTCCCACTCTGTGGCCTTGACATCCTTGTCCCCCTCAGTTGACACCCACGTCCCTTTAAGTTGATATCCACATCCCTCTAAGCAGCCCACACCACGTTCCGGACCTGCCTTGCCAGCTGCCCTGCCTCTGCCCTGGCTCCCATCAGGCCTGTCCTGTCTGTAGTCACTCACCATCCTCCTCCCCACCAGTCCCGCTCACACTCACGCTCATGCTCACCTGGAACCCAGCCTTGTTCGTTGAGTGCGTCTGTGCTGAGCACACCTGGGCACATTGCCCCGAGTGCCTCTGGAACCCTCTCCTTTCTGGAGAAGCACACGCTATGCTGGTGTGCGAGGGATGAAGTGGCAAGTCCATGGGCAGGCGGCTCAGACTCTGGGGACTCGTGGTCTCACCACCCCCGATGCCAGAGGGCCAAGGAGTGGCCAGGCTGGCTTCTCCTGGGGCCTGGCTCCCTGGCTTACTGACGGGGCCTTCTCCCTGTGCCCTCACAGGAACATCCCTCCCCACGTGTCTGTCCCAATCTCTTGTAACAAGGACACTGGTCATGTTGAATTAGGGTCCATCACACTGACCTCAGTTTACCTCGGTCACCCCATTAAAGGCCCTGTGATCAAATCCAGTCCCATTCTAGGGTCTTGGTCCTGGCTAGGACTTCAGCATACAGCCTTTGGGGGATACAATGCCGCCATGACTCGCATGCTCGGCCCTCTCCATGTCTTCTCGCCTGGGCCAGAAACCTTAGGGCAGCGATGGCCCAAGCGTCAGTGCTCCGTGAAGCGCTTTGCACACAGTAACCGATCTATCGCATGGAGTCTGGAGTGCAGGTACCACATCACCTCCATGCCATGGGGGAAGTAACTGAGGCTCAAGGAGGCAAGTGACTGCCCGCTGGAACGGAAGCCCCGAAGGGCAGGGGCTGTGTCTTCAATCCCAGCACGCTGCAGAGGGCCGAATGTTCCGAGAGTTGAGTAGACGGGCCCAACGTCTGCCAGGCAGGAAGGAAGGGTAGGGAGGTGGGCTTAAACCTGGGTCACGGGGTCAGCAGGTGGCGTGGCGGTTAAGGCACTGGATTCCCACATGATGATCACAGTT